GACATTAGAAGCCCTCCCACTGTTGACCCCCCCCCCAAGCACCAAGAAGACAGAGCATCACTTGCCCCAGAGCCCCTAGCTATACCTTGTGGCTAATAGCCACTGATGGACCTCTGCTCCATATGCTTATCTAATTCCCTTTTGAAGCTGTCCATGCTTGTAGCCGCCACCACTTCCTGTGGCAGTGAATTCCATGTGTTAATCACTCTTTGGGTGAAGAAGTACTTCCTTTTATCCGTTCTAACCCGACCGCTCTGCAGTTTCATGGAGTGCCCACGAGTTCTTGTATTGTGAGAAAGGGAGAAAAGTACCTCTTTCTCTACCTGCTCTTTCCCATGCATAATCTTATAAACCTCGATCATGTCACCCCTCAGTCGTCTTTTCTCCAAGCTAAAGAGCCCTAAGCGCTTTAACCTTTCCTCATAGGGAAAGTGTTCCAACCCTTTTATCATTTGAGTTGCCCTTTTCTGCACTTTTTCCAAAGCTATAATATCTTTTTTAAGGTGTGGTGCCCAGAACTGCACACAGTATTCCAAATGAGGTCTCACCATTGATTTATATAGGGGCATTATTATATTGGCTGATCTGTTTTCAATACCCTTCCTAATAATCCCCAGCATAGCATTGGCCTTCTTTATTGCAGTCACACACTGTCTCGACATTTTCAGTGAGTTATCCACTACAACTCCAAGATCTCTCTCTTGATCAGTCTCTGCCAGTTCAGACCCCATCAATGATGGTCAGCATCATTGGGGAGACACACTTTTTGCTTTCTCTACCATAGGCATCAATTGCTGTAGATCTAATTATCTTCATTACAGGACAGCGCTGGGAAATTTGCATATTACTTTTTGAGCAGTCAGGAAATTTGCAGATTCTTTTTTTTTCTTAATTGGCATCAGTTCATCAGTGTAAGCATGCAGATCCTCCTCCAACCCTGCACCAGTTTGGTGTAGTGGTTAAGTGCACAGACTCTAATCTGGGAGAACCGGGTTTGATTCCGCACTCCTCCACTTGCACCTGCTGGATGACCTTGGGCAGGGGTCATTTTGTAGAAAAAGAGGTGCAGGAGCTCATTAACATAACTCCTTAGCATTCCTTATTTGCATATGCCACACACACCCTGACATCACTGGAAGTGTGTCAAAAGGCAACACCCACCGCTCAGGCTCCACCCCAAAAATCTCCAGGTATTTCCCAATTCAGAACTGGTGAGCCTACCTGATGGCACACATGGGGAAAAACAAACCAGGTGTGGGGGGCTGATTCAAATCAGGACTGTAGCACAATTGGGCAGGGGGCAGTTAAGCCATTTCCCCAATGCCCTGAGGAATCTTGTTTGCAGCTATTGAAAGAGAACAGCTGTAAGAGGCCTAGGTTTCCTAGACAATTGGCAAAATTTTATTTCCTAAAATAACATCAGTTCATGTGGTACAATGGCTAGCTCATGGGGTTTGGAGGATGTGGGAATGTGATGTTGAAATCCTCAGTTACAGAGCTCCCTGGGTAGCACTGGCTATCTCTCAACCTAATCTACCTCACACATTGGTTGTGAAGGAATCATTGAGTGGAGCCCTTTGACTAGGCTTGCCAAGTCCCCCCGCCCCAGAGGCCCGTTCCCCGCCACCGGCCGGGGGGCGGGGAAACCCCTGCCCCAGAGTCCCATTCCCCGCCGGTGGCGGATCGGGCCCCGGGGGGAACCCCACCCCAACGTGCGCGTCACCCAGAAGTAACGCGACCACACCGGGCATGCTCTATGGTTTTCCCTCGTATGGTCGTGGCCCCGCGCCCAGCGTGCCCGGCGTCATCACATCACTTCTGGGTGACGTGTATGCGGCGCTCGCACGCTCCAGCCGCCACCCAGGAGTCCCCCGCTGCGGAACTACGCCGGACTTGGCAACCCTACCTTCGGCCTTTGCCCAGTTGAAAATGGGCTGCTCAAAACTGTAGTCTAGTTTGTGGACAACCGTACAACTCTACTGTCTTAAGGTGCCCAAATTTGGTTGTCACAGACTGCTGCTGAGTGGGGCTTCCTGTGTAAATGAGTGGCCACTCACATGCACAGCTTAGAGGGAACAGTGGTAGAGACAAGTTTGAACCCCAG